CCAAGTAATATACAATTAATACATTTAAAAAAAAAGATTAAATCTGATTTCAAAAATAAATTATTATTAATATAAGCAGATTATTAAAATAAATATTTAACCAGAAGACGGAAAATTATAATTGCACCTTCCATGTTAATTGTTATTATTAGGAGGACGTCACACACACGTTATTTTCTTCAAAAAACACGCCTTGCGTGGATTAACTTTACAAAAGCTATAATCAAAATTAAGAAACCAAATTTTTACATAATATAAACAACAACATTGTCTGTGTTCGATCATCGCCCTTTTTTAAAATATTTCAACCAGTTAATGAAAAATTAATTAATTAAGAAACGACTTTTTTGACTTTTTTTAATATGATATAACGTTGGTTGTATTAGGTATATCGAAAAAATAAGGATGATGGAACACAGATAATTTCGTCATAAATAATATGTATGAATTTCTTTCCTTAACTATATATGAAGCCTGAGAAATATTAATCCACGCAAAGCAGTTTTGATGGCAAAAAAATTGTATTTTATCCTATAGAAATGACTGTGATAGTCTGACACAAAACATGGCAATCAACAAAGTATCCTCAATACTGTATTAATTCGTATACATTATAGTTCAAACCCTAAATTTAGATTTTTCGAAAAATTGCCTATACTTTACGCCTTAGAAATGGCTGGTGTGGCGTCCTCTTAATGAAGAGACATTTTAAAAGGCATATAAATAAACGATGATAATAATAATTAAGTATACTCATTACTCTGGCAGTCGATAGAGAAGAAATAGCTGATTAACAGCTCTGTTATGAATTATAGCTAAAATATATGAACACAAATCACAAGAATTTTGTTCAGAAAGCTTATTAATTTTAAGCTACCTACCTAAAAGTTTAAACATTCTAGTGCGATTCATGACTATGTCGTGTTCAGATTTTAACATAATAGTGTTATTTGCTAAACAAAATATAATCCAATATTCTATTTTATTAGTAGAATGTTTAATACAAATAATAAAATACATACCTTTTAAGAGGGCGTCGCACCGCCCATTTTTAAGGAGTAAAGTATAGGCAATTTTTTTACAAAATCTTAATTTAAACGTTAAACTGTGATGTGTAATTATTAGTTCAATAACTAAGACTCTCTTTTGGTAGTTAATTTATTTTTTGGACTATCACAGCGAGACACTTGAAAGCGATTTAAAAATGTTTTTTCATCTCTACATCTTTCATCTCTAAGCAGACTGGAAATAACTCGCTTAATTTTGGTTTTAGAGTAAAAGCACTCGTTATAAAATTAAAAGAACAATATTCCAAAGGGCAAGACGGTGCGTTTTTTTCATTATTCCAAGTACAACGCTCAATACATATATTAGAAATAACGACTATTTAAACATTTTTAAATGACTGTAACTTTGCAAAAAATGAAACGCACCGTTTTGCCCTCCGGAATATTGTTCTCTTTTAATTTTATGATGGGTGCTTTTACTCTAAAACAATATTAGATCCATAGTCCCATATTTATAGAATGCAGTTAATGTAGAATTTTCAAATGTTGTAAAAAAACCTTTAATCATTTCTACCCAAAAGTTTCTCATAAATGTATAACAAATTGTGAACTTTACATATAGTTTCAATAGGTTTAAATATAGGGTAGCCTCACTGCGGGTTAATTAAATTAATTTCTCTATAAGTTGTGACAAAATAATAAGCTTAGATATTGGTTTATAATTCGAAATATCACCTTTATCACCTTACTTCAATATTTGGATAAAACATATTTTTCACGCCGTAGGAAGTATATCATAATTCAGAAATAACTTAAATAATTCATAAACTAGGAAAGCTAAGGCAAAAAATATAGAGAATATTCATTAATATTAACTCTTTTAATTGTGTTTAACAGAACTACACAATTTTTGTTTTCTAATGGAATTGATTCATAAATTAAAGTAAACAATAATTTACTATTTTATTAATACATTTAACATCCTTGTCGATGGATTTCCCAATGAATATGTTATTCCAAGATTATTGTTTATTTTTTAAATATTGGTCATAAAATTTGAATTTCCATCCCTTAGTTTTTACAATCAATTTAGATCTTAAACCTCTTAAGTTTAAATTCTAGCTAGAATCAACATATGATAACTTATTTTTGATCTATTGGTCGTTTTACACGTTTTTATTATCTTTATTATTGCAAATTAAGGTCAGTGAATTGTTGCACATGTTGTTTTTTTGATATTTGTTTGTTGTTATTGAGTTTTAATACAGTATATTGCTATTCAATGTTTTTTTAGCACGAGTTTAAATAAAACTCGTGAATAAGAAATTTAAAGTTTTCATTTTTGTTACTTATGTTGTTTTTGGATGGACGTACATTAATGTGTTGCACATATTAATGTATGACCAACAAGTAACTGTTTCAATAATTCAATACAATAACTGTTTTTCCCTTAAAAAAATAATACTGATTCGAAGCATATATTCTTTCATGTAGCGATATTGCCTATACTCGACACCGTTTTTCAACCAGGCGTGTTTCGTGTCAATTCAAATAATATAATTCGGTGATGTTCGATTTCAAGATTACAGTAATCGTCACAGATATGTTTAAACTAAAGAAAAGTTTGGCTTAGTTTGGCTGTAGTTCAAACCTAAACATTATTTGCAATATTTTTGAACCAATTTCTTCATCATGAATAGAAACTTCGGGTTAATTCAATTGAGGATGATTTAATTCACCTCAATTGAATTAATAAATTGATACAAAACTATATAAATTTTGGTCTAAATTTTAAATTAAATATACATTACAATAGTTAATAATTGTATACAGTTTAGAAAAAACATTTCCGCTCAGGTCAATGAATTGTCCGTTTCGGTTCCCTAACTATACCCTGACCCCACAGCAGTGTTTTGTGTTATATATTCATTTAAAACCTTTTGAAAAAGTTATATGAATTTTATTATCGGTATTATTTTTAAAAATAATTTCATACTTATTTTCTTACACCGGACCGTACTAAAATCACGGTGTGATTGTGTTTTAAAAAGGATTTATCGAAATAAGGGGAAAACAGTTATTGCATTGAATTGGTCAAACGGTTACTTGTTGCTCATACATAAATGCGTGCAACAAACAACATACGTATATCTATATCCAAAAACAACATATTTTTGCGCATATGTTACAATTGTGGTATAAAAAATAATGTTCAGCTAAATTTCAGGTACAAAATTTAAATAGTTACACATTTTTTTCCACAACATAAATAACTTTGAATTTCTCCCCTTTAGTAAAGGCATACTTTAAGCCTCTGAGTAATGTGTAATATTTATTGGTTATTTTACATAATATTTAGTAAATTATTAAAATCATAATTAAAACAAATATTACAACATTATTCCTATGCCCGTGGTCCTTTGAATGGTCAAAAGTAAAAAAAATCCACCAACTACAACCCAAAAACCAAAAAAAATTAACATTAATATTAAAAATATTAGTCTGCGTGATAATATTTGTAACACAATTATTTTGTTATAATGAAAAACTCCAAAGTGTGTTTCAAAACTTGAAATTTAGTAAATGACCTGATTTTCATATTTGTTTATCGGTGTTGTTGAGTTATTTTATTTAAAACCGTAAAAGCCAGATTTCGGATTTCGAACTTCAATGAAAATAATCCGGATTTTGTGATGTATCGTGAAAATAAACCGATATTATTTAAATTAATTATTCTTATAGTTGTAGCACAAGAAATCCTAATTAAAATAAAAAAAAATTCATATTTAACCGATATTGTCAAAAATAGATTTAACTTCTAAGAATTACTTTAAAAGTCAAACAACAAAGTGAGTGTTTTTTGTTTTTAATAAAAGGTCCAAACACCCTTTTGGTAGTACATATTACATACTTATTTTGTTATGCGAAAAAATTATAATCTAATCTAGGTTTAATTGTTCTTTTTCTTACAATGACCATCATAAGTTTGTTTGATAAAATCTATTTTATAAACTTAGGCTAGACCCGCTAGAGTGTTCTGAATCTAAATTCAAGAAGGTATTGTTAAATGTTGACGGGACACCCTGTATCGATAAGAGCGAAACGAGCGTCGAAAAACATGTTGTTGTACATTCGTTTTTTCTCACAACCCGTAAAATAATTTATTTAAACTTGTGCTAAAAAACATTGAATAGCAATATACTATACTAAAACTCAAAAACAATAAACAAATATCGAAAAAAATATGTTTTTGTGCGTCCAATTTTTCGTACAACTAGAAAAACAAAATACAAGTTCTACCTAAAAAACACAATTAGTACTACAAAAAACACAACTGCTGCGTGACTTACAGTTAGAGAGTTTTGTAATATTAAAAAGTTTTAGTACTTGTAAGAAAATTAAATTAACAGAGAAAATTGAAAATATAATACATATAATATATTACTTTTCAAATTCTAAATATACAAAAAATATGTATATTAATTTCCTAATTCAATTTAAACTGTAGATATTACTAAATCGGCTAAATTTTCGTACAAATGTTCTAGGTGGATTTGTTGTTGTTGTTTCTTTCATATACTATCACCAGTACAACAACAAACTATTGAACAAACATAAAAAAAAAATTCAATTTTTATGGAGGTCATTGAGAATAAAACAATTTTTTCCTATAAAATGTTTGGCTTAAAGACCGTCGTGTAAGCAAGTATAACAGGTGTTTTTTTTGTCAAACGGCAAAACAACTACTGTTTTTTTTATGATTGACAGCCACCATTATTATTTGTATAATATCAACGTAACACTGAAATCGCTACGACAGAATGCATTAAAAAGAATACGAATCATTAAAGTCTTAAATTCCTGCAAAACATCAAGTGTCCTACATCGAGTGTAAAAAAAAAAACTATGTATTTTAAATATGCTAATATATTTGTATACTTGTTTGTTTATTTTCAAATAGCAAACACGTTTACTGATAAGGTGATTAAATGATCTCATAGCTTAATGTATTAAATGAAAAAATATATAATGATAACTTCTGTAAATCTAGTGAATAATTCGAGACACATTATTTCTGCAATAGCATTGTTTACATTGTGTATTAATTATAAAAATATAATGATTTTAGCAACTGGAAAAAATACATTCCGAAGTCAAAATTTTAAGTGCCAAAGCAAATTGTCCTTTTGGTTGCTTTGGATGTTTTGGAACAGTTAACAAGATAGATACAAGAAGCTACTTAAATAAACACTTATCAGAATATGGACTAACTATGGAAAGCATGAGAGCGATAACAGAGGGCTTGCCGAAGGGTACGGTACACAATAATAATTTAGTAATAAATATTGTAAAATATATGTATATACGTGAAATGTGAACAACCAATAATCACTTGGTAGTGATTATTGGAATAGGTAGTGTTTTTACAACATTTTTGGGGATTACTTACACTACAACGTACTATGTAAAGATGGTTAGGCAGAAATTATACAGGAATATAAAACGCTTTTATCTTGGTTTTTCTAAAAATTATGTGATAAAACAATATTTATTTTGTGGCATTCCCCATGACTTTTTTAGACACGATTTTAGATTATTTAAAAACCAAATAAGCGGACAGAAAAAATTAATGTTTTTAAATAGCTTTTTATAATATCAGGGGTCAAATATTGTACATAAAAACCCAATAATAATAATTGCAACCAGTCAACTCGTTAAAATATAATATAGTTGGATACATTTTGATGTGAATACTTTTATAATGATTTCTAGTCGATGGTCATATAAAGAAAAAGGCTTTTATAGATCATATGAAACAAAAGTATAACGAGTATTATGGGATTGTTAATGACGTGGTACCGTCCACGGGTGAAAAGTAACTAATGTGGACGCTACAATACCGGCCGGTGTAGGATTTCTACATTTTCCATCTCTAGGCAAGTAATATTTTTCACTCTTTTAACAATACATTTTTCGTTTATTTGTAACACATGTTATAGCTTTTAATTTTTTTGTAATGTGATAAATAAAAATAAATATTGTTACATATTTTTGGCTTGTCTAAATGTATTATTAGTTATCCAAAAAATAATATCTAAATACAAAAGTAAAAATCCAGTGCAGAGTGATAGGCAGAATGGTGACGGAGCATAATATGCACTCAAAAACTTTTACTGTTTATCTACCGTTCTAAATCTATTGAAGTAATTCTGATTCGGTGTATGGATGAAACTCGTTTGGTTTTTGTTTAATTTAACTTTACTAAATTTGTGACTGAGGTCTGACTGAAACATGTCTTTTTTATTTAAATTTTCTTCTTTAGCGACCTATTGGTTGTCTAATTTACGATTTCACACGTCATGAAGTACCAGCACTGGTTGTCCCCTTCTGTCAAGCCTACTGTCTCCCATCGAAGCACCTACTATAAGTGATTTTCCCATCCTCTTTTCATTGTCCTACTCTCTCTTCTAACATTCTTAACCCCTGTTCTGTTCCCATCATACTATTCTAATAGCTTTTCCATTTAAATACATGTGCATAATTCAGGTAAGTATACGCCACAGCAATTTAGATCATGAAAATAATATAATTTAAATCTATAAAATATTGTTTTTGTAAAAAATATGACTGTTCGTATAACGTAAAAACTTTTTGGGCCATGTGTAACCAACTGGTGTTTTTCATATTTAGTTTGCAATGCTTTAGTCATTGTGAAATATACTGTATAATAAAATAACACTTCAAAATAACACTTCCCTATACATCGCCGGCTTCAGTACAACAAGGGGATTTTAGCTAAAATAAAAAATGCTAGTTGTATACGTACTTATAATTATGTGTTAAACGCTAAATGCAGTGTAGTTACAATTTGTCTTGTGGAGTCAAATAACAAATAAAATAATTCTAAACGTTTCAACGATGGTAAATTATTTAGAATATACAAAATAGGCATTCGCAATAACTTATGTAAATGTACAATACATATACTACCGTGCCAGAAAGTAGTTCTGAAAATATAAAAAACCAAAAGAAATAAGTATAAAAAAAAAGATTTGTCTTGTACTAGTACAAAAAAATATGACTGTTCGTCTGTAGAGTAACATAGCGCCAAAAAAAAAAACCAAAAACAAATATATATATATATATTTACAAAATACCTACATCGCATCATTTTGAAAATAAGTCACTAACTAAAATAAAATGATCGATATTGGAACTCGAATAATTATTATCAACTCAGTCGCTCAAACCTTGTCGTATCTAGTTTTATTACAAAAATATATATTTAAGCACATTATTGACTGTGACCGCCAAACCAATATCTTCTTCTAGCAACCCTTTACATACAAAAAAAATATTTAAATTTTTATCTTTTTTAGTATTTTCTAGAACTTTATCATATGCTTTGCGTATATAAGTACCGGTTAAAACCAAAATAATAAATGTTTTACTATGATAACGGTTTTAATTGGTTAACTAACATAAAACCTTATTTTATTTGAAAAAAAAATTATACGCGAACAAAAATATTTTATCTACGACTGTAATAATACTTTACAGTACAGTCAGTTTATATATTGAAATAAAAAGAAATGTGGTCTGAACAAATAAAAAAAAAATTGTTCCTTTAAAATAACGCCACAACAACACGAACGTGTATTGTAGACACTCCAATCGCTAAACTATCGATTAAAGTATACATTATAATACGATGAAAGTCATGTTTCATCAGTAGCAATATTTCTCTTCCTCGAAAAACATCAAGCAAACAAGACTTTTTTCGGTGGAACAGTTATTGAATTTTACAAAAAACTATGAAGCTCAAGACATTTTTTTATTGCTTTGTGCTATTCTTTTGTCAATCGGTAAAATTAATGGATATCAGATACGAATATCGCAGCATAGATCTTATCGAAAATTATAGTGAGTCTGATTATTTCAAATGCACATATCTGTTCAGTGGGTTAAAGCACATGCTGCTAACTCAGATTTTAATTAGCCCTCCATATAATACGCCAACAACACTGACGGCAGTTGACGAAAGTTATTATAAAAATACCATTAAATTCCAGATAGCTTCTTTGTATAGTTTAAAAATAAAGAATATGAGATCCCTATGGTTACTACTTTTGTACACGAATTTAGTAACTGGCTTGGCTGAACATTCAATCGATATACCGACAGACTATCAGAAACTTGAAGCCACGCACAAGTATGTCATCAATAAACTACTAAAAGACCTAAACGGATGCCATAAAGATAATTCTTATGATAGTTTCTATAATATGATTCACTCAAAACCTTATCCACCAAAACATGTGTGGAAACATATGGTACACAAAAATAATATAGAGGCCTTAGAACTGCTGAAAAAGACCAATTTATCAGAGGATGAATTTATTGATGAGTTTGTAGAGAAGTTAAAAATGAATAGTCTTTTTTTTAGAAAGTCTGATTTAATGTATATAAGTAGAGGACAAGTGAGCTGGCCAGACATAACCAAAGTACGATTAAAAAAATCTTATCGTGACGCACATACACTGGATTGGACTACCGACAACCTTCAAAATCTAAAATCATACTATAAGCTTGTCTATTCATTTTTTCAAGTTATCATGTTCAAGCTGACGTTAAATCACCTGAAATATCTACAGTATTCAGAAGGTCCGGTGCTTGAATGGTACAACGAGGTCAAAACATTTGTTAAATTGTTAAGCTTAACCAACGACCTACAAGTAAAGAACTTGCTATCGGCTATCAATAATCTCTCTAATGGAACAGAAAAAATAGATAGTGTGGTAAGGGTTGTATATTCTGTACTAGTATCGCTTTGTCTGCCTCTCGGTTGTGAGGTTGACGATCCATTCAATATGGACAGTAAAGAATCTGAGGTATCCGATGCAAGTTCGTCGAATGCTGATACAATAAGTTTGGCAAATACAATTACCCATGTGCCGGTTGAGTATAACAGTTTGGAAAAGGCCAGGGCATTTCATCTTGTACTCCGTCGGAGGTTCAAATATGTCGATTTTAGCCTCATTCAATTAATCATAGAATATATTGATGAAATCAAATTGGAAAACGATATGGAAAGGTTAGATTTTGACTTCCTGTAGTCTAATGTTATTACTATTATTTCTATTATTATTATTATATTACTATTACGATTATTATTATTAAAAATTCAACATATTGAAAAGCAAAGTCAAGTAATATACTACTAGCACATAATGCAAGTACAATACTAGAGTTTTTATTAAACCTTGTTTTTCTCTAATTTAGTTAATGTGCCTACCTACTATGGTTTTAACCCTCATCATTATTATTACTGACAACTTTGAAAAATATACAGAGGGATCAACTTATCGTGAACCACTAGATATCTCTTTGGGTTTAATTAATAATTGATTTTTTTTTTAATCTTTCTTATTGTTAGTGATCTCAATTTTCCCCTATTTGTTATACTGTTACCCCCTTCCTGATAAACACATTGATGAATATAAAATATTTTTAACCAATTAATGAATAATGAAGTAAATAATTGTCCTGGACAAAGAGTAGATCAGATTAAATAAAGAAAACACAGTTTTCGCCACCAGTACAGCGAAGCTGAACTACCAATATGCCTGAAGCATTCGACCTCAGATATTTACTGATAAGAAGTTGAGTGGTGTCACCTTATCTTCTCTACATCGTGGTGGGGACTTTTGACCATGGGAACGTATGGTCGAATGCCCAGTGGATTAAAAATTGATTCTACAAATTGTATAACAGTAATATGGTATCTCCCAATAGCATCTACATAAAAGTGTATAAGTGAGACGCCCCCCTCCCGTCCAATCCATAATATTTAAATGTATGTAGTTATGTAACTACGCATGCAAAATTCAAGTATACATGTTTTATATACAATAGCTGTTGATAATTTTAACAACAAAAAAAATAGGTGTTGCTATTTGAAAATCAAAATTAGCTATCAAATAAACTAATTTGGGAGGAGGGTAATAAAGAACTTTTGTTATTCTTATAAAATCTGTAAAGTTGAACGACAGAGAACCTCAAAATATACAGTGAAAAATTTAAATGAACGTGGGTAATATGTATACATTTTTTAGCAAGTGTTATTATTCAGACCTAACAGTAACGGTTTTGTTAAAAATATTAATATTTGCCAAATCCCGTTGTGTTCTTGGATATGTTATTCGATTGTATGTATCGCACATTCGACACTGTAAGACGCATGGGCTTTTTTTCTAGACAAATACAAAACCGTGGTTTTTTTTTTTTTTTTGCAATGTTGTACAATTTTTTTAGCACTGATGTTTACAAAGGTGTGTTTTCGTTCTTTTGCCACGGACGAGTACGTTTTGTTTTAAAAGTAATGTGTTTTTTTCATGTTTTCACCCGCGTTGACAAAAGTTAACAGGTATGGAGAGAACAATTTCTTATTTTACTGACGCAATTATTATGTGCTTAAAAAATATTTTTTTTAGTAATAAGGCGAATACGATTAGGGTTGATCGTCCCATGTATCGTAATTAACAGTATAATCAAAATATTTCAAATAGGTACCTATTGACTACGGTCAAAGTATAACGTTCCCCTTCTTTTATTTATTTTTTTTTAATGATGCTTGATAAGAAAGAACAAATTTCTGTCCCTTCAAAGGGAAAGGGTTGATGATATTTGTTCGGGTTGTCAACGTTTATCGGCATTACTAGGGCTCTAGAAAAGTCTATACAATTTTGGAACTTATTGGAATGTTTTTTAAAAAAGTTACGGAGCGCCGTAATTTAAAATTTTAAAAATATAAAAAATGTTTTTGTTGTTTTTCTTGATTTTTATAATGTACCTTACAAGTAAGATTTCTTATCTAAAGATTTGCACACGAAGAAATCGGTTCAGAGGCTTAAAAGATATAGCAGATAAAGACACACGAAAAAACAATTAATTAAAACACATCATTGTATAAACAATATCTT